TTAAACCAGATTCCTCAATAAACTTGGAAATCTATGAAGCCCTTTTGGCCACTCCATTTGATCCAGAGCTATCACTACACCAAAATCAAATGAAACCAAATTTGTACTTCACAAAAGGGAACTCATCACGATTACCTTTTCTTTGCTTGAATTCTTAATATAATGCTACAACTTAAACTGCAAATCAGTTAGCTATTGAATAATGAATTACTCAAGTCTTGTCCCAGTTATACCACTATTAACTAGTACCCACAATCCAAAATATTAGATTTTCAACTGTGGCATAATGCTAAAACAACCTGCAAATCATATACAAAACTTTTCAATATAAATTCAATTAGTTGTTATCCATTTCCAAGATCGTCGACTTCATCAACTATTCATTAAGCATAACCACACAATATTCAAATCAATTTATACCCATTTTCAAGTCCAATAAAAAAATCAAGAAATTTTCTAAATTTAACAAAGAAAAAAAAAGAAAATCTTTTAACCAAGTTAATATTCTGGACAATCGAATAACATAACACTAGATCAGAACCTCAAGAGCGTGTTTGTAACGGTGGGAAGTTCTTAGGTCTCTAGAGATGCTTCGGAGGTCAGAGGTGGAGATTTTGTTTCCTTCGCTGATCCATTTCTGTAAAATATTGGTGGCGCTCCTCTTGGGGAGTCTGAGTCTGAAAATCCTGCTCTTTAAATCATCTTTCTGACCTTCTTCTGTGTTATAATCTGCGTGTTCTTCGCGGATTGTGGTGGAGGGTTCTTGAATTTGATGGGCAACTTGACTTGTTGAAAACAGGAATCTGAATGAACTTTTATCCTCCCTCCGTGCATTTCTACAAAAACACAAAGATAATTCAGTATGTAAAAGGCCCCAAAAGTATGTGAATTTTTACAGATTTGATTTCCGGGATGGGGATGGAAGAGGGTGAGGGTGCGGGGCAGTACCGGGTGAGACTGAAGAAGAGGGAACGGGCTGCCATTGATCGTAGATGAATTCCTTTGGTTTTCTCAATAATTATTGAATTTACTTAAGAAAAACGGAATTGTTTACTGAAACGATTATTCGAAGTGGGAAAAAAAATGAAAAGAAAAATATGAAAATGAAAATGTCAGAAGTGGGATTTGAACCCACGCCCTCTCACGAGGACCAGAACTTGAGTCTGGCGCCTTAGACCACTCGGCCATCCTGAC